ATGCAGTGGATCTGGCTGGTGATTCTGTTAAAGCCAAGGTTACCAGGTGGCATACTGAGGTGGCCCTGGCAGTTGACACAATCACTCCCAAATGCCATCCCTGCTTAGAGTTTGATCTTCCCTAATATTCATGGAGGAACTTCAAGTTATGATGTTATTGAGGAGACACCTAGAGAGGAAGTGGAGTAAAGACTCGTTGGACTCTAACTTGGTAGCTGACCAGGAGGTCAGGTAACTCTGCATTGAGGAAGGGATTGGACTCAATGGCCTTATAGGCCCCTTCCAACTCAATTATCTTATAATTCTATGGTTCTAATGCCTTAAAATTGGCCAGAAGGAATTTTAACAGAATAATTTCTGAGAAAGAACAGAATCAGAATCATTTCTGAGGTCTCAAACCAGCAATCCAAACTTAATTGGATTATCTGCAACCTCACCAATACTCTTTAGCCCCAGCTTCCTCCTGGTGATTTTACCAGTGAGCAATCTGCTACCTATCTGATATAAAAAATTGAGGCACTTCAACTGGATCTTGCCCCCACTATCAGCTTGGTCGATCCTGTGAGGATCCCCAAGACATCTTCCCTGTTCAGTTTGGGCCAGTGACACCAGATGACATCTCCTGTTTGATCCCTGCCCTACGTGGCTTACAAAAGCTGCCAATGATGTCTCTTTAGAGTGGGCTGTTAACATTGTGAATGCCTTCCTGAGGGGGCGGGGGTTGCCTCCCCTCACAGGTTAAGGAGACCATTATTTAACCCATCCTGAAGCAACCAACTTTGCTGATTGATAGCCTTAATAATTGCACATCTATTGACAATATTCTTTTTATAGTCAAGATGATAGGGAGGGTGGTGGCAGAGCAGTGTCACGTTCCCGGGGGTTACAACAGAAGAGTCCGATAAGCCATTCCTATGTCAAGAATTCAGGGAATGCAGAGCCGATATCCAAATACCAAAGCCAACTCTACACAACATAGTCCAGGGTCAGAGTCCAAAGCCAAAATGTACAATGTAGTCCAGGGTCAGAGTCCAAAGCCAAGGGTCCAGAGAACAAGGTTCAAGGTTGTCAGGAGCGTGGATGCAAGCCAGAGGTTTGACTTGTTGCTTCCATGGACTTTCAGCCGTCTGAGAGCTGTTTATATAGTAAAAAACAGCCCTTGAACTGCTGGAAGACTTTTCATCCTGTCAGAACTCAGGGCTAGTTGATTGGATGTTTCTGCGGGCAACCTTCAAACAATCCTCTGACCTTTTTGTCATAAGTCTTCCCCGAAGCCTGGCCCTCAGCCTGTCTACTGGGGGAGGAGAATCTGGAGGCGATTCAGGTGTTTGTATTTCTAATCGCTCAGTATTCTCCTCAGCTACAGTTAACCCTTCAGGTTCTGGATCTTCGGCTGCAATGATGACAAGCAGCTCCAGTTCTACCTGGAGGATGAACATTGCCTTGATCCATTCCAGTCCTGATTCAGGCCACACTACAGTACTGAGATGGCTGTGACTGCACTGCAAGATGACCTGTTAACAAAGGCTGATTGGGGAGCGCACATCCTATTAGTCCTCCTGGATCTTTCAGCAGCTTGGTATCAACAGTATCCTCCTGGGCATGCCCTCAGAAGTGGGGATCAGGAGCTTGGTGTTAGGCTGGCTCAAGTCCTTTCTCAAGGGCTGGGTCCATAGAGTACAGCTTGGGGATGAGTTGTTGGCCTTTGGACCCTTGATAGGTGGGGTTTTCTCAGGGTCATCAATTTTCCAAATGCTTTTCAACATCTATGTGAAATGGCTGGGAGAGTTCATCCAGAGACCTGGAGTATGGTATCATCAGTATGCTGATGATGTGCAACTCTAACTCTCCTTTTTCACCTCTGCAGTGGATGCTGTCCAGACATTGGGGAAGGGCTTGGCTACAATGCTGGAATGAAACAGGGCTAGCAGGCTCAAGTTGAATCTGGATAAGATGGAGATCATCCTCCTGGGGGGTGGGAGACACTCTTCCTAGACTGAATGGTGTTGACCTCCTGCTTAGGGACTGAGTCTGGAACCTGGGAGTAATCTTGTATCCAGCTGTCTCTTGGGATTCCCAGGTGGCAGCCATGTCCAGGTTAGCCTTTAATCAACCACAGCTTATTGCCTAGCTAGGTCCCTATATTGACGAGGGCGCCCTCACAATGTTGATGCATGTGTTGATGATCTCCAGGACTGACTATTGCAATGCTCTCTATATGTGGCTTCCCTTGAGATTGATCTAGAGACTGCAACAAGTCCTTAAAATGTGGCAGCCAGGTTCATGGCAGGTGTGAGCAGATTTGATCACATCTCCCTTGTCCTGGCTTGCCTGAATTGGCTACTGGTTGCATCCTGGATCAAGGTACTGATGCTCACCTCTAAAGCCTTTCACAGTTTGGGGGCATGACTCTCCCTAAGGTCATCTGCCTGCACTGCCAGATCCTCACAGGCCATGCTCCTTTGAGTAGCCATGCCGAAGGAGGCCAGAAAATCTTTGACAAGGAGCCAGGCCTTCTCAACAGTGGCACCAATCCTTTGCAACCATCTTCTGAGGGAGCAACACCTGGTACCTTCCCTTTCTAATTTTAGGAGTCTGCTGAAGACTCATCTCTTCCAAGAAACTTTTGGTAGGAGCCTCCCCTGACCTTGCCCATCTTCTACTGCTGCTTGGTTTCACTACGCCAGGGGTCAGGGAACTTTTTTACCTTTTACCCCCCAAAAAATTTATATACGCTGATATTACGCCCTTGATTTGAAAGGAAGGAAATTGTACACTGTTTTTAACCACTCCACTGAAAATAATGACATGCCCCAAAACTACGAATGCAACTATAATATGTTGGCTTTCTACTCTGGCCTTACCTCAGAGATGAGGGTCTGTGTGTGTCTGTAACAAATCAACAGAAATTTTGCTATTGAAAACCAAATGGACTATCAAAGGAAGGCTTTGGAGTGAAATGAAACACAAAACCAAACAGTCTTAGAATGGTCCTTGTGCTGGTGAAACTCCTACCCTGTTGAACCTGCTGCCTGTCTGAGTCTGTGACTTCACAGAACACCACACCAAATGACCAGCACATTTACCTTCTTTGCAGGACTGGCAGAAGGTCAGGGTGGAGTCCATTTCATTCTTAATCTTGATCAGGGCATCAAGAACCATTGGTCCACATCTACCGTGTTCCCCCGAAAATAAGACAGGGTCTTATATTAATTTTTGCTCCAAAAAGACTCATTAGGGCTTATTTTCAGGAGATTTTTTTAAATGTACAACAATCTACGTTTATTCAAATACAGTCATGTCATCTGTGAAATGTGTGGCCTTCCAAATGTTGTTGACTACAGATCTCATAAGCCCCAGCCAGCGTAGCCAAAGGTATGGGTTAATAGGAGTTGTGATCGAATAATTGGGTGGTATACCTACCTACCTACCTACCTACCTACCTACCTACCTACCTACCTACCTACCTACCTACCTACCTACCTACCTACCAACCAACCAACCAACCAACCAACCAACCAACCAACCAACCAACCAACCAACCAACCTCTTTGCACTTGTGACATCTTCTTCCTTCATTTTGCAGTTTTCAGAAATAATCATTCATTTGTTTGATTTAAATAAAAGGATAAATGCTTGAATAGTTGCACATTCACATGGTGCCTTTAGAAAGGCAGCTTGCCTAGAGCATAGTTAGGGAAATTAATATGACTAAGAGCTGTGGGAAACTTCTGCTTAAAGGTTGTAGCTGCATTCTATTCCAGTGACGCGCATACACTCCTGGCAGGATGCAGCAGCTGTCGGCAGGCAGGGAAACCTCTTATTCTGTCCTTTCACTTAGAGGTAGAGCATAAGGTCAAAGGGTTATTTTAGCCAATCCTAGTTACGATTAGGTAACTAGTATCCTATCTGTCTCTCTCATAACATACTATGTAATCATGCTAAGCAAATAAAAGAGCGTTGGGGTGTTGTCAGTTGGCTCCACTGGCTCGGACATCCAATGTTGACTCCTTTGTTCTCTCTCTAAGGCAATTAGCCTTCCTTTGTTCTGTGATCACCCACAAACAGCTGAATCAGTCATTGATTTCTTGGCAGGTACATTGATTATGGAAAGAGCAAAACCACAGAGAAGCCATGCACATGCCACAGCTGAAGACCAGGCTGTAGAAATGGCATACAAATTCCAGCCTGGAGGGCAAATGACAGGGTAGGATTATGAAGCTGGTTTGTTAGCCAGGAGTGTTGATCTTTCAGCTGTTTCTCATTCAAGCTATAACTCCCCCCTTTTTTTCTGCCATCATCTTCCTCATCCTTTGAAAACTATTAAAAAAAGCAGCAAGTTTTTGAAAATAGTTCCATGAGACTTAATGGCCTTGTCTCCAATACCAATTAAACTTCAGATTGCAAGGAGTTGGCAAACTGTGACATAAACCAGCTGCAGTCAGCACTCGAAAACGGGTACAGTATTTTAAGCAGTTCCTAGGAGAAACTAGAGAATAAACTCCTAATCAGCGTAGGATGACTGGTAAGCATCTGCACTTGTAGGTCTGTATTTTGAGTAAAACTGCTTTCCTTAAGCTATGTTTCACCCTACCATCACACATTTCCTGCTTCTTTTTGCTTACTGTATGATCTGACTGATATGAACCAACGTGTCAGGAGAGATCAGGGAGCAGGTTTAGCAAGGCAGTGTCCCATTGACATTGTATTCATTTCTGTCAATGTAAGATCTGACTTCTGCATCAGCTGTGCCACTTCTTGTTTTTCTAGTAGATTTCTAGTTCGCACATCACTTTCTTTAAGCTCATAATGAAAGTATAATTAACACAATCATATTTATGCATTCTGGCCTGTGTTTTTTCGGGCAGTTTTTTTAGTTTTGTACAGAACCCATGTTTGATACAGCAAACTTATTTTGGTACCAAAGGGTACATAAACAACAACAGCCTCTAAGTCTCTCTCTTTTTTTTTTTACACACGCAAACGGCATGCTATTTTACCTGAATGGTTGCAGTGAGATGGTTCCACAAGTCTGCCAGTCTTATCATAGCAGGCAAGGGCTCGGAAGCGCACACCTTCTCCACATTCTTTGGTATGTCCATGAAATCTGGGTTCTAACTGGAACTCAGCTTTTCTGAGAGCAATTATGCACTCTGACCAATTTCCATGAGACCGGGTGGTAAACACTGCACAGGGGCATCGTTCAGTTTCAACCTGAGGATATAGCTCTGTGTTCTGGCACTTGTCTCGCTTTCTACTTCTCCCTGTTCCAGACACGAAAATATGCTTGTTAGTGTAACATCTGCTGCTTTTGATAACAATATGTCATATTATTTATACATGAAGGGGTTTAATATAGTTAGAAACAACATAATCTGAAATGTAAATGCAGAGGCGTTGGTTCAAAGACATCTGTTCATTGTTGGCATTGCTCTGGAGGGCCAAGACAATGTCAGTCTCCAGGGCAACCAGGGGACTTGAAGAAACTTCGGGAAAAATGTTTTGGATAAAACAGAAAACAACAGGAAGAGAGCATCTGTCTGTTCACTTCTATTATGGAAAGAAGAAGAAAATATGTTCATTTCCCCATAATTATCAAAATAAAAAAAAGAATTTTCTTATCTTTTCTTCCCCTCACTATTAGCCCTGGTTGCTTAGGGAAACCTACAAAGAGAGAGTAAGCTAAAGCTCCTTCTGAGAAGCTATGCTATTAAACACACACTCGGTATAAAGACTACATCTCTGAGCCCATCCTCAGTAATTATTTCTAGATATGGGATTTTCAGATACAAATCCTATACTTCTCCATTTTGGGAGTTCTGCCCAACAGAGAGATACTTTTGTAGACCTAAATGTGACTCACCTAGGAGAAATGCCTCCGTTGGAAGTGCCAGCTAGGCCTAGCTCCACCTAGCTAACTGTTCAGGAAGAAAGCTGCCAACCAGCACTGGAGAAGAAACAGGACTTTTGGGCAGAGCTAGGCCTAGACACACCTCAGAGCCTTCCAGTTGAGTCCTTTTCTCTCAGGGGAACCACATGTCTGTCAAGCATATGGTAGAACTGGGAGGTAGAACTCCCAGAATGGAGAATTATGGAGGTTTCAATCAAAACATTTCAAAAAATTCCACCCTAATGATTACATTTCAGCAGTACAGCTTTACTTATTTATTTATTTATTCTATTTATATCCCACCTATCTGGTCTTGCGACCACTCTAGGCGGCTTACATACCATTTTTAAATGGAGATTAACTGCACGGCCTCCTCTAATGGCACCCATACACCTATTCGTCAGTTTTGTGGCAGGCTTCTTAGCTTGCCATGTTATTTAAACAATTCAGATACCAGTCAACCAAATAGCAATCAGCCCTTATCTGGATTACTATTTATGGGGGTGTTGGGACAGGGTGCATCTGACTTATTAGCCTATCTTGAAATTCTGGCAAAATGTCACGATAATGTCTTCAGGGCTTCATATTACCAGAGATAACTGTACTAGTGGACAAGAAAGGCCCAAGGTCGATAAATCTATTCAAAATGGCCACTGGGTGCTCAAAATGGCTCCCCGCTGTGTTTTTGGACGGATTTCTCACTCTACAGGCACCAAAAATGGCCGCCCCATGGAGGATCTTCGCTGGATGGTGAGTTTTCAGCCCATTGGAACGCACTGAATAGTTTTCAGTGCATTTTAATGGGCTTTTTTATTTCGCTTTACGAAGTTTTCGCTCTACAGCGATTTTGCTGGAACGAATTAACGTTGTTAAGTGAGGCACCACTGTATTTAGATACTATTAATTTTCAGGGACCAGTTTGGGGTGGGTGGGACTGAAAAATACAACAAAACCAAACCTGTGCTCGTGGCGCAATGGTTAAACGCCTGCACTACAGCCAAAACTGTGCTCATGACCCAGGGTTCAATCCCAGGTAGCCGGCTCAAGGTTGACTCAGCCTTCTATCCTTCCGACGTTGGTAAAATGAGTACCCAGCTTGTGAGTTAGGGGGGCATAAATAACTTGTAAACCACCCAGGGAGTGCTTGAAGTGCTATGGGACAGTATATAAGCAGCACACTGTTTTGCTTTGCTTTTGTTTGTTTTAAGTTAACATTTGATCAATTTATAAACTCCCATTTCCAGCAGAAGACAGTTAAAATCACCACAAGATACTGACCCAGGGCTTCCTGCCCTGACAACGTCCTTCCTATCTTCAGTTTTACAACTACCTGCCCTGCCCATATAATTTTCAATAAACCATAGGCCTGATATTGGCTGTATTTCCGACACAGTTTTAAAAAAACTGTTCGCTTCAGCTCTTGCTCCAACACAAACCCTTCCTGCTCATTCCAGTTTAGGACCTGGCCTCTAGCAGAATCCTAATGGAATAAAAACAGAACTGTCAATTGTGATCTTGCTTGCTATTCTCCTGACTTCAAAAATCCCATCAATCAATGCCAGAGGAGACACTGGCCTGACAGGACAATCTTTATATATAATTTTTCTTTATCATATTGCATCCCTGCATCAAGGGCTGAATTTCCCATTGCATTAACAACTAATACAATGTGTTATGCGCACACAGCATCTGTCAGGTTTCACAGTTAAATTGAAAATGTGCACCTAAGCTAATCACCACTTTCCTCCACAGATAGAGGGAGAGATATTAACACCATCTAGCTGTATTGCATGAAAAGAATATTCACACTGTTTTCCAAATGGTTTTTCAATTAGCACAGTAATATTCTCAAAGTCAAATTCTTAAAAATGATGATAAAAATTACTTTTTTTCTAAGACCCAGCAGTCTTTTAAAAATCTTTCTATTCCTTTTCAACAGAAACAGTTTTTCAGCATTAATGCGAGCGGGGGGTGGGGGGATAAAAATGTTCAGTAAAAATCAATTTGCCTTTCACACAAAACATTCAGTTTCAATACCAATGTTGCACATATTTGACTATGCTCATAATTAAAGAAGATAAATATGCCTTTCCCCTCCCCACAATAGTATCATAATACAGATTGCAAAATAGTGTAACCTCAAATTAGCCTTTCACTGGCATTTGCTTGGGGGTGCTTCTTTGATGAATAATGCTAAATATACAGCCCATGCATGGATGTAAAAATAAAATATGCTATTATAGAACAAAGTAAGAGGGAAGCTACTGTTTTTACATGTTTACAGTTTTCACAAAACACCTTAAAATTAGCCAATTTTCCTAAACCGGCTCTGCTTAAGGAAGCTTGCTGTATAATGTATATTATCTCTTCCTTTCTCTTACTGTCCTCAAGTCCGGAAGGAGGAGTTCATACAGAGCTATTTTCTCTTCAAGAAGTGGACGTGCCTCTGAAGTATCTCAGATTCTTGTCCTGGTAAATTTTTATTCCTCCTGGCAATTGAAGGACACAGATAGAGCCCCATCTGAAAACTCTATCCCAATTTTCCTCAGCACTGACTTCTTCATCATCATCATCATCGAACTGCAGAGCTGGAAAGGACCCTATGGATCATCAAGTCCAGACCCCTTGTTCAGGAGGCACAACGACAAATCAAACTCCCAGCTAAACTACTGAGCTATCCAGCAGCCAGACTTGTGGCTAGAACTCTGTGTATGTTAAGCCTTTAATAGTCTGTTATGGTTTCAAAGGGCAAAATGGTTAGTGGTTTGAGACAGTTTAATTTACTAGAAGACATCTCCTCTGTTGTATTGATCTTCCTTTTTTCTTTCCTGCCTCCCCACAAGGGGAGGCCAATTTTATCCTCCTATCCACCTTATGAGGTAGATTTGGCAATTGGCACTCAATACGACATTCCAAAGTAAATGAAAAGCTGCTGCAGGAAGCTGTGAATTTGGAGAGGAGAGTCTGAACCCCCACATTTTTTTCTATTAAAATTATATTCTCAAAGCTATGAACCAATCTGCTTGCATGCTCTAAAATGGCAAAAAGCAGCTTGGGGAGGATGATTCTGAGTTGTAAATAGCCAGTAAGGTGAAACCTAAGCACCTCTCTCCCTCTTCACCTTCTCCCTGCTTCTGACTGACACAGATTTATAGTTTTATTTTAAAAGACACCTTGTGAGAAAGTTACACATATCTAGTTTGGCCTTGATGTGCTATTTCATCAAGCATTTGTTTCTTGAATGTATTACTGGATCTATTGCAACATGCTATGTTAGACTAAAAGTGAGTGAACAAGAATAAATCATAGGGGAAACATTTTGTCGTCATGCATTGCTCTCATAACATTTAATATTTTCTATTTCCACTTTAAAGGAGAATGGTTTATTTATTTGGGCATTCCATTAGCCAAGGTGATACATCAAAGGCTTGCACCACAAAGTCAAAATTAAACATGACAGCTTTAGTAAACATTCCTAGCATAAAGAGGTTCCAGGACTGAATATTAACAATGCATTGGAACGATATATATTTAACATTAGAATAGCGTACTACCAACAATGGGTACTCTGCCGTTTCATGAAAAATATCATGCAGCCTTTTGATAAAATCATTGCATTGTCTGTTCAGCTCGTTTTAGTCACAAGCATTTCTCATGAAATAATAAGAATTATGCTGGCTCAGAAATCATTACTGAACTATATCATGCTGACTCTTTTGTGTGAAGACTTTATTACACAATGATCATGGCTGTGCTTAAAGACCAACATGAATTCTCAGTTGTTCTGAAGCGATTGTTTGACAATCCCTGTTGAATAGAGATGGGTACCTTGGCTTCCGAGCTTTGCTTCCTCTGGCGGGTGGCCACTCAGAGGCAGCAGCTTGGCTTCCTAGCCCTGCCTTCTCCAGGCACTACCTCTGAGTGGGCACCCATCAGTGGACACAGAGGTGGGAAGCCGGGGCACCCATGGAAGAAGCTGTGTGGCTGAACCATCAAACCAGCATTGCATTTCTCATCTGTTGGTGCCAGAGGGTTCAGCTTGGGGCGCTGTTTCATCCCTGTGGATATTACAATGTGGTGTCCCACAGGGGTTAATCATCTCCCCATTGCTGTTCAACACCTATATGATGTGGCTGGGGGAGGTCATTTGGAGATTCGGAGTTCACTGTCATCAGTATGCTGATGACACACAACTGTATCTCTCCTTTTCATCTTTCACAGAGGAAGCTGTGCAGACCTTGGAGTGCTGCCTGACTGCTGTTAGGGACTGGATAAGGACTAACAGGCTGAGACTGACAAGAAGAACACCCTGTTGTTAGGTGGGAGCCCTGATCAATTAGGACGCTTTTTACCTGGTCTAGATGGGGTCACACTCCCCCTGAAGGATCAGGTTTGTAATCTTGGTGTGACTGTGGATCCTCTCGATGGAGAATCAGACCTTGGCCATGACCAGGCCTGTCTTTTTGCAGTTTAGGCAGATTGTATACCTTCACCTCTGTCTCAGAACCTCGTAAGACTGGTTCATGTGCTTGTAATCCCAAAGGTAGACTATTGCAATGCTCTCTACATAGGGGTGCCCATGAAGGTGGTTTGGAAGCTGCAGCCGCCAGGCTAGTGTCAGAACAATTAATATAATATGTTTTCTTGAAGGCTTTCATGGCCATGATCCAATGGTTGTTGTAGATTTTTCGGGCTGTTTGGCCGTGTTCTGAAGGTTCTTCTTCCTAACTGGTGAGATGTTAGGAAGACAAAACTCCAGAACACAGCCAAAAAGCCCAAAAAACCTACAACAATTAATATAATGATATTTATCCTGTCCTGTTTGCACTGGTTGCCAGTATGTTTCCAAGCCAAGTTCAAGGTGCTGATGTCAACATTCCAAGCTCTAAACGATTTAGGACCTTGCTAGTTGTCAGAGTGCCTCTTCCTCAGAACAACCTCCCATCTCTCCCACACCTCCCTATCCATGAAGTTACAGGTAGTAACCTCAAGGGAGGTTTAGAAATGGACAGCCAGGAACCGGGCCTTCTCAGTGGTGGCCGTGTCATTGGGGAACTCACTTCTGGTGGAGGTGTGACAGGCCTCTTTCCTCCTCGGTTTTAGGGGAAAACTAAAGACTTTTTACTCAGGCCTTCCATAATTTTAACCTTGCCTAATCTTGTTTGTCAATTTTTTTCCTGTCTGTTTTAATTTATGCCATTTATTGAATTTTATTTTATGTCTATTTTGATATCTTGATTGTAAGCCACCCAGAATAGTGGCTTCACCACTAGATAGGTGGGATAAAAGTTTAAACAAACAAATAAAATGCCACCGGGGGGGTGAAATTGGGGAGAGGCTCTTCTAATTCTATTCTTTGTAATGTTGGCCAGAAAAAAACGACAATAGTTAAGTTTGCAGGTGGCCCTTGCAAAAGAGCAGCCAACATAAAATAAAATTTAAAAAGAACCTTTCTACTGAGGGATTATTGGAATGTAGTATTTGTTCTGAGAGATTCCTGGAAGCATACTTCAATGTGGAAGTGCACATTTCTCTTGATGAGAACACCAAATGGAATAGGATGCATCCTGCCTCAGATGGCCACTTATGAGACTTGTGATATACACTGAAAAAAAAGTGTGGATGTACCTTAAACATGGAAATAAATTAATGATACCTTGTTTTGGATGGGGTTAGCATTAACTGGTGATTGTAAACAGTCCAATAGTCATTGAATTGAAGGGCTGGATCTATGCTATCAGAAACATGCGGGTTAAGAGGCTTCTAAATTGACACCACATAGCATCCCTTTTCTCCAAAGTTAATATATAATAATATAGACTGGAAACAGAGCCCATTGTTGCTGTGAAGGAAAAATACCGTAAATGAAACTATAGATGCTTTAACCCAGAATGAGAGGTGGCATCATGTGAAACAATCAGGGTGACCAGTAGATTGAAGAGTGGTTACAAGGAACATGCAGATTTGGCAAAGGAGAATCTTGGTTACATGGTTTTGCATGTATCCCTAACACTAGTACTCTCCTGTATGGGGAGAAAAACCTAAGTTTAGTTTGTTGGCCAGGCAAGGGGCTCCCACAGCTTCTTGTTCAACAGGGGAGGCCTTAACAGTCAGCCTCTTCCTTTTTCTTTTAAAAGTGGAAATAACATTTCTATCCTCTTCTGACATAGTGTCATTTCATTTCACAAGGGATTCTGGGACCTGAATTGTGACTCTTCACATTTCTTGCCATTCACAATTTCAGCTAGAAATGATGGCACTGATAAATGAAACTTCCTGATGATTTTCAACAAAGAAGGGGTAGCCCAGCTTCACAATACTGACCACATTGCTCATCCATGGTTGAAAAGGCATGAGGCTCAGATAAACGGGCCAGGTAGATTTTTTCTGTTTGACAAAGAGTCATCATGCTGTCTGCCTAGTCCACAAAGAAAGCCCATCTTCCTTGAGCAACATACAGAACAATCATTATTCCTCACTGTGATCTGTCTCAAAGAAATTAAGTGAATGGTCACTTATGCAGGACCCTCCCTTCTTTTTCCCTCTTTTTCTTTCTAATGCTGATATTTTTCCCCCTGTAAATTTTAACCAGGAGTGGTGCCAGACTGGAACTGACTTGACACATAGCAAAAGGAATAAGAGTTCAGAACAGAGTCCTTTCTGGATACTCACTGAGAGAAAGGCTGTCAGTCATCTGGAAAACCAGCGTACTGTTTAAGCAGCAGGTTAAACGAGACATGTACCCAAGTCACTTCTATATCTTTCTCAACAATAATCATCAAAAATAATAACAACACATCAAAGCTGGAAATAGTGCAGCATGTCTGAGGAAGTGGACTTGAAAGCTCACATAAAATATAATGCTTACGTCTTTAAGGCAATACAATGTTTCTGTCTTTTATTTTGTTCATTTTTGTCTGATATGCTTACACAGACTAACGGCGACTTCTTTGTAAAATATCAAAGGTGGGTAGTTGTCAAAATGGTAGCTTGCCTGTAACCGCTTAGTAAGTTCATAACTGAGATGAGATTAGGAGACTTCCTTTTTCACGGCTCAGTTTGAGATTAATAGTTTCCCTGTTCCATAGATCCATCTTCTATCCCACTCCAATGCACTCATTCTCATCAAAGAAAGCACACTGCCAGTGCAATAGCTCTGTAGTTGTCAACACAGAAGGTTCAATAGCAATGTTGTTCTGTTCTGACAAGTCAGATGTGAAATGTTGTCCAGTGGATCTTTTCTAAGTGGCCTCTAGGCTGTTCTCTAAGAGGTAAAGACGTGTTAGCATTGTCCCAAGTCTGTCACCGGGAAGATAATGTCTCATATCTGACAGAATCTGGCTGGTTTGACAGTGGAGTATAAATTTAAGGAAGGGAAATGGGGCAAGATTGTATACTAAAGGACAGAGTTTTTGCTAACTGACACATAGGATGTGTAGAAGGAGAAATCAGTGGCTCCCCAGGACCAATCTAAGGTAATGAAAGGGCCTTTGAAAAAGGAACCTAGTGGAAATGGAAGTGAAGAGGAAGACAATTAGATTCTCTTGCCGGCTCAAGGCCACATACTCTTGGTGTTAATATATCTGTAGTGCAATGGCATAGTCAACCAATGGTGCACCATTTCAAATGTACGTTATTGATGGACAAACACCTGATATCATGTATTCGCGAAGACTTTCACGGCCGGGATCTAATGGTTGTTGTGGGTTTTTCCCGGAAGATGCCAGCCCCAGAGACTGGTGAAACGTTAGGAAGAACAACCTTCAGAACATGGCCAAAAAGCCCAAAAAACCCACAACAACCTGATATCATGTTTGGATTGTGGAGCATTAGTTCACTGCATATGTGTAAAAATGCAGAGTTGAATGGGGAAAAAGTTTTTCTACTAGAACATGTGGTGATCTAGAAATGAAACAAGACATGACTGGAGTTCATAAAATCATGAAAAACCTCAGGACAGCTTAAGCTTTGAAGGTTCACACAATTGTCATTTTTATATGGATTTGACATAATACACATAATGCACATGCATAAACATCTGAAATAGTGTGTCTACGTCAGCTGCAGATTGGAACAGGAGGAGATATTATTGAAAACATGTTTCAATGCAGAAGTGTCATTTAACCTTCCGAGACATACGTCTGAACAGAATGTGTCTTGTCTCAGAAGCCTATTTACAAGACCTGGGATGCGTATTGAAGAAAAGATGTGAATGGAACCATGTGAGGAGCTACTTCAGCTACTACTTTGAGCTACTATAATATACATTTTACAAATATGCTTTTAAAAAACCTTTCAGCAGCGCAAGAATGCGTGCAATATGCAAGTATAACACAAAACAGAAAACAAAATCCTTGTATGTTTTCTAAAATGTGCAAAAAAAATACATATATTGCCACATGGCAAAAAAGAAGCATCTCAAGGACTGAACAAGAATACTAGCAGGGCAACCAAAGGCTCAACAATAGCAAAATGAGCCAAGTTTCACATTCCAAGCAACACTGGCTGAAATCCAGTAGTAAGTTGCAACTACAAGAGGCCCACTGAATCAATGGAATATACAGAGGAGCTGAGTCTCTAATTCATCTCTGATTCAATGGCCTACTCTAGTTGTGACTCCCTACTGGATTTCAGTCAATGTATGTTAATCTGTGCAAAATTAGATAAGGCTAACAAAGACATTCTTTTATATGCTTCTGGATCCAGGTATGTGTATTATTCCAAAGAAAAAGTCCAAAATTTGCAGTTGCATTATTAGCAGGACCAGTATTCTGATAGAACACATAGATAATGGATAATGATTCAACATTCAGATGAATTTTGCAGCCATACAGAAGATGTTGAGTTGTCCAATTACATTCAGAAACACCTAGATGCCAAAACTGTAACCATTTCAGAGACCCCATCCACACTGACTATGAAACTATGGTCCCTTGACAGACACCTTTACATCATTCCTGACTGGTTTTCTGCATTAATGCAGTAGCCAAGCACAAATTCCAGTCATTCCATTTTGGAGCCTTCATAAGAATTTTCCATAAACAGAACTCTAAATGCAGTCAAAGAATTTTCAAAGTCGTTTGGAAAAAAAAGGACAAAGGATGAAATATAAAATATTGATACTACCTGTGAGGGTTCTTCTTCGAGTTCGTGTTGATTCACAGTCTGAAGCACATGATGTAAATTTAGACCAAGGCGTGAATGTGCAGTCATCTTTGCAAGGAATCAGGCAGTCCTGGACAATGGAAGGCATAGGTTCGGCCCATTTCAAACACTCACTCACATTGACTGTCTGGTTGCCCTCCAAGACACATGTAACAACTGCACAAAAATAAATGAAAACCAAAGAAAGCAGTTGTGAGTACTGTGGAGGCACAGGAGGACTTCAGATGACCATGGCAAATTGTCACAAGTTAACAAATCATTGTAGACATTATCTGTTGTATACACAATTGTGGGGCTCAGAGGGCACCTAGTAATATCTATGGTGATTTCCCAATTTAGAGCAATTTGCCTCCAAATGTTATGCCATTTGCATAGCTGCACAAGAAGATTTTGGTTATGGATGCAACAATGAAAATGTTATAAGGTAGCTGCCTAGAGTGGTCGAAATGACTAGATAGGCGAGGTATAAATACAATAAATACCATAGAGCCAGCGTTTGTCTGTAGACAGTTTCCGTGGTCACATGGCCAGCGCGACTAGACACGGAACACCATTACCTTCCCACCTTAGTGGTACCTATTTATCTACTTTAAATTTTACATGCTTTCAAACTGCTAGGTTGGTGGGAGCTGGGACAAGCAACGGGGGCTCATTCCATCGTGTGGATTCAATCTTACGACTGCAGGTCTTCCGACCTTGCAGCACAGAGGCTTCTGCAGTTTAACCTGCAGCACCACCACGTCCCTTTAGAAAATGTTATACTGGATTATTAAAATGTCAACTCTATTAAATATATGAAAATCACATTTGTGTTTGGTTGTTTCAAAACTGAAATCATTCAGATCGTTGGAACAAGGGATAAACAGATTGCAATTAACTGTGAAATTAGTATTTTCTTGTCCACTTCCCTCCCTCATTCTAATGTACTCAATTCATGTTCCCAAATCTTGGATTTTTAACAGGTTATAGACATTCCAGTGTGAACACAGAGGTTCACTCCTTGCTCATTCTGATCTGCATGCACAAGCATAATTGAAATATCCTAACATCTAAATGATGTGCAACCAGGGGTGGTCTCAATGAGAAGTCACTTTTAAACTTGGATGAAAGATGACTGAGAACGCAATACTATAGAAAAATCATCATTTTGGTTTTCAAGACGTAGAAGACATTTCCCAAATTCTGAGGTGTGGGTCTCTATGTGGTCAGGAAAATCATCAGCCATACTTGGCAGAGCAAAACAGAAATTAGCAAAAATATATCTTGAATAAAATTATGGGGGGGAGCTACATTCAATCTGGTCTAATTCAGAGGCCACACCAGGTTGACCGACTGCATTGTGTTTGTGTGGGATGGCAGTAGGAAATGAACAAACATTTGGGAAGAGAAAAGGGATGAAGTACTATAGAGGAGGGCATGGCTGGCTGAACTCAACACTAAGCGGCCACCCGCATCAACTACACCTTTTTCTTGCAGGTTTCACTTGTTGCACACTTAGCACACAAAGTCTCAATATTCCCCATGGCCCACATCTGAGGAACTCAACTGATATCAATAGCTTATGTCCCGTTCATGATTCTCCACATGGCTGTTGTAGGTTTTTTGGACTGTCTGGTCATTTTGTTGAGGTTTTTCTTCCTAACGTTTCACCAGTCTCTGTGGCTGGCATCTTCAGAGGACAGGATATTTGGAGAAATATCTAATATTTCTGCAGATATTTGGCCCATAACTCCCATAATTCCAACTTACCATGGTCATTGGGAAAAGACTGTAAAAACTGTCCAAAACACCTAACATTCCAAACATCCCCATCTCAGGATTACAAGGAAGGAAGAAAAAGAGTCTCCTTTAGCTCTGTTCTAAGTAATTTAATCCTCAGCAAACACTAACTATACACCATGAAAATGAATTGGGAGGTAGACAGGGATTTTTGAAGTTAATTTAAAGTCATTTGGTAGTCATATCGTTGTTGAGTCAGTGTGTGAGTCCTCTTGGTAAACTTTTAATTTGCTTTTAAACTACATTGTATATTGGTCAAAGAAATGATTTTAAAAGATTCAAAATAAATTTGTTTCACCAGTCATTTAAAATAAATGACCCTCTTGCAGCTGAGTAAAATACCTCATTTTTTAACCAATAAAGCATGCTTAAGGGATTTAAAAAATCTGTGTTTCCCTGTATGTGGTGTAGTTGGAATTTTAAAAATAGATTTCAAACATGCTAAAACCAATTCAAAAACAGTGTTTTTTTTTTCAACCACAGCCTATATGACAGTGGTGACACCACTCCTACTAGTAACAGCTTCTTCGACAGCTCTAAGCCATTTACTTGGCAAAGAAGTACTGCAGGCCTTATGAAAATTTCTCACATCTTTCCATGAGTTCTGATCACTGATCATCACCTATAAATTAACATCTATGTTGTATGATCACCGAGGAAATATTGTTACATTAGTTCTCTTTGATTCCGATACTGCACAGAAAATTAAATTGGGAAGGGACTTGGAGGGATTTAAAATTATTGCTAAGTAAGCCATTACACAGTAAGTTCTAATAAATGATGGTGTTTTCATTAGTTGTTAGGTAATTAAAACACAGCCTTCTTGATTGACCTGATTTGCAACCAAATAATTATTTATAAAGGGGGGGAAAAGGTAGGGTGATACTGGATGTTGTGATTAAATTTTATGATTCTAGAGACAAGGGTTGACCTCTAGATGGTGAGATCCTCCAGAGAATGCTGCCCCTAATTAATGGTTGGTTGTTTTTGCATGCATTACAATTCAGATCTTATGGTCCAGCTAAGCTCTAAATTCCACACAAGGATGATATTTTGTTCTGCGAAGCTGCAGAATGATGCAATAATTGGACTGACATTCTACTCATTCATCTTCAACAAGCTGGCAGCATCATCATAAAGATTACTGATTAAGCCACACTTTAATGACTATCCATGTTGTTTTCCTTGTCTCTACCTCCTGAAATAGGCTGAACAGCAAAATGAGGGGTGAACTAATGTTTAATGGATGTTTCTGAAATATGCTAGAATAAATTGTGATTTGGGTAGGGCATTTAAAGCAGGGCATTTAATCCCTGCATTAATAGTGGTCTTTACGTGCTCACTAACTGATTTGTAATTTTCATGATTCTTAAAATCTGTCTAAACTGACAGTTCATCTTATAGGTGGTATAAAATTTACCCATGTCAGTGATGAAAAATGCACTCGTTGGAACACTAAAGAAGCCCTAGATAACCACACTTGCTATTGGCATACATTTTATTCTTCACCATTTACCATTGTTGGCCAGGGGACTGCACGTATCAGAACTGGACTCCATGCCCACCACCCAGCCGGACCCTAATATACCTTCAGATCTCGGGCAATAACAGTATCATTCATTCAAATTATAACACAAATATGTAGATAAATATTTGAACAACATTCAAAAGCCTGTACTCCCTCCCCACTTCTTTTGTTTTGCTGATCTCCTAAATAATCTCAGCACTTCAGGCACAGGTAATAGCATTTCTTCTGCTTGCTAACTTACAGTCAAACATGGCTAGCTAAAATAAATTAAACAATAGGCGTTGCTTGTTAGGACACTTTAATTGACTTGCAACTACTATATGTGAATCAGTATGGTTGCAGGAACCAATTTATGGTTTTGGTTAGACATTCTAATTAACTTCTTAATCTCCATTAGGGGGTGAAGTCTGAAATGTACAAACACTTCCATCGCATTAATAGACTACAGAGTAAGGGTGTGAATCTCTGTCAAGTTCAAATGGATGACATTCAAAGTCCTCAAAGCACTGTAAGATTTATATTTTAAAAAACCCCTTCTTGGTAGTTTGAGTCTATGGTGGTCCGTTACAGCTTACATTTATGCCTGATAAGATTAATTTCAATGTGAGAGTAGATAACCTTATCAATCATACCAATGCTAATCAAGGTATCAAGGTATAACTTGTTTAATTCCTCAAATTCTCCATCCCTCTTCAGAGAATAAGTCATTGCTTCATTCATGGTGAAGTAAGTTGTTCTCTCGACATCTTACCTACAGTAGACACTTCACTCATTTATTGCTTCTATGGTCCATATACAACCCCCCCAAAAAAAACAACAAAAAAAATCAACAATCCAAAATTGAATACGTCTAACTTGGAAGTTACAGAAAGTTACATTTCAGATACACAGAACCATGAAAAAACACCTGTAGATACAAATGTTTAAATCATACAAAAAGTCATCCATAATTCTTGGAATTTTGGAAACCTGCATAGAAGAAATACTCTAAAGCAAATAAAAGCAAAACCTAAGTTGCAAGCAAAGCTTAAATTATGTGGAATGTGTTCATTTTAGAACATTTTGATCAATTTTACAAAAACAAATAAAAAAGGGAAACCACTACACACTGCATGTGTCCCAAGATTATTAAAAAATTGGATTAAGCCAAAAAGATTTAACAATTTGATACAGGCCAGAATCCTATTATTTACTTACACTAGCATAAATCCAGTGGCATGAAAGTCTGCAGGAAATTGCTGAAGCTTATACCTCTTGCCATGTGCCACATCACACAACTAGTGTTTGAAATACAAGCACTGACTTACTTAGTGTCTATTTGCTACTGAGATTACTTTTGTTAGTAAGCTTCTGGCCTTTTTAACTCTGAGTTTTTATCTGTTCAGTCCCTTCTTCCTCAGTATGTGTGTTAGTTTTAGAATAAAGCATGTTCAAACTTAGAAGTGCAATTATAAATTTCTCTCATCAAATGTAGATTTCAGAAATCCTGCCATAAAACTTTTAACGGTACAGCTGAATGGGCTTTATGAATTGGCATTCCGAAATGCTGAGCAATTCTTTAAGCAAACTTTCCTGTGTCTATTAGGTATTGAAATAATAAGCATTCTTCACACTTTCTCTTTCACTGGTACCACAAATTGGCTGAATTTTTTTTAAAAATCCTGTGGATTTTTGTAGTGCTGAGTACATTGCACTCTTTCGCTCACACTGCGAACATCGCTGAAGAACTGAATAGGGTTGAAGAAAATCAACCTCCTGGTTTAAGCAAATGTCAGTATAATGTGCTTTTCTGGAGAAGAATAAGCTAACAATATGCTTTTGGATATATATTTTTCTCTTAGAAAAATCA